AGACCATGTACTATATAGTACATAGTCATTTGCCAAATTTCATCAAAAATGGCTAAGAGAGAATTCTCCATTTTTATAATTTTATCTAATACATATGCATGTTTTTATGTTATATTTCAAATTTGAGCTCATTCCGATCAAGTTTGGATTTTTTATGAATTTTTAAAGTTGCTCAAAAATTGGGCCAAAGTCCCTGTACTATAGTACAGGGACTTTGGTCAAATTTCATCAAAATTGGTCAGGAGAGAATTCTCTATTTTTATAATTTTATTTGATACATATACATGCCCTAATGTTATGTTTCAAATTTGAGCTCATTCCGATCAAGTTTAGTTTTTTTTACGAATTTTTAAAGTTGCTCAAAAATGAAATTGGTTGGGCAAGAACTTTTTATTTCTATTACATTATATTCATTCTTTTGAAGAGGTACTTTCATTGAATTTCGTGATGGGCTAATCAATCTCTGCCCCATTGGTAGAAACTGCACTCAAGAGGAGCGAATGGAGTTTTTTGAATATGACAAAGTACAAGCAACAGCCTCTCTCTTTTTAACTCTCAACAATCTCTCTCTCTCTCTCTCTTTTTAGGAGCACAAGATTCGAGAGAAGTTTGTTGAAGCAATGGAGAAAGAGTTTGCTGACATGGGACTGAAGTTCTCAATTGGTACTAATGATGCACTTTATTTGTATTGATGCTTAACTGATGAAATGTGTATTTAATCAATAGTGTACAAGTATTTTATTTATTTATTTTATTTGTTTATTTATTTATTCATTTGTTTATTTATTTATTTATTGTATCAATAGGTGGTCAGATTAGTATTGATGTGTTTCCAAAAGGCTGGGATAAGACATTCTGTCTTGGACTGATGGACCTCACGCTCTACAAAGAGATTCACTTCTTTGGTGACAAAACGTACCCTGTAAATAATGGCAGCGTATAAAACTAAAAATGTTATTGTTGTTATTTTTTTGCAGGGTGGAAATGATTATGAGATTTTTATGGATCCTCGTACTATTGGACACACTGTTACCAGTCCTGAAGACACAATGGAACAACTCAAAACATTGTTCAAGGACTAGAATTATTTGAATGTAGCCATTAGAATTCCAACATAACTTATACCGTATTAAGTCTAATTGTTTGAAAACGAAACTTTTACTATTAAAGGGCGTGGTCGATTCAAAAATCAAAATCTAAGGCGGCAAGAAAACTCGAAATTCGAAAAGACTTCTTTATAAACTTCTTTTGATCTTCCTTTCACCTATAGCTTCTTTAAAGAGCTGATACGTTAGTCCTCTTGTATATTTTCAGCTGCAACAGTTTGCAATTTGTTTAGATACCGACCTATGGAAGGGGAAGGAAGAGGAGGTGGAGAAACGTTATCTGCTACACCCACCGCCACTGATATCTCTAATAGTCGCTCACCCATTGCTCCTGCCTTTACTACTACTACTGGAGCTACTACTAACATACTGACAGAGTCACAGAAGCCAAATCTTATAATGTCAGAGACAGAGACTTTCAAGACAGGACAGGTAGAGAAAGGGAAGGCTGGAGGCCTTGTTACCTAATTGTAATCTAAATATATAAATCCTGGATATATAATTATACGTGAATTGATTTCCTTAAAAGACAGACTTTTAAATTCTGAGGCTAAACATGTACATATTAGAGTGATTGCATGTATTTCGTTAGCCAATGTACAGTATCATGTAATACAAAATTGATAGTATGGGACTACTAATTGACTTATTGCCAATGTATATGTGTACATAAGTATGGTCTGTGGTCTATTGGTTATAGGTTCCTGGTAGTCCAGGGGTAGGAGGAGGAGGGTGGGATGATATCAGAGAGTTGGATAACGCCGAGAATTGGACAGAGAGGACACGAGTTATATCAAAGCAGGATCATCAGTTTTACTCGCAGTGTGCACAAGTAAGGAAGCAAATCATCATAATCACTCTCTCATTCTCTCTCTCTCTCTCTCTCTCTCCTCTTTTTCTTTGTTTTCTGGCTGTGTAGGGTTTTGTTTCAGAGCTTGTTGACAAGCTACCGGATAAAAGTACAAAGTGAGTTAACCGATGTCTTTGAACAGGACAGCACACTAGCTGAGAGGTGATTAACTCTTCTTTGTTTTTTAATCAGAGAAGACTATAATGATTATGGTATTACTGGCGACAATGAAGTACCTAATTCAAGATCTCCTTCAAATCCTTCAGCAACAACAACGGGAGGAGGAGGTGATTTTGGTTATATGGATCAGTTTGATGATCGCGATTTTCAATTATCAGGTATTAAAAGCATTTTATTATTATTATTATTATTTATTATTATCATTTATTAGCTTCTCAGTTTAACACTGATTATTTTGAGAGGATGGGCTCTAATACTAATACAACTGTAAGAAATCTTAATATCTACACACACATGTACATATTTGTACTGTAATACATGTTTGTATAATATTCTTCTTTTCTTCTCTCTCTCTCCATTCCTCCATTAGACCAGTGCCCTAGCCAGAGAGTCCTTATATGTTAAGTTTGATCCGTTAGTAGGTCCAGTGGTACCAGCACGTACTACTCCTCCTCTCCCTCCCCCCATGAGGTATTCTTCCTATTATCATCATCGTCTCATTAAGTTTTTATTAGCGGCGATAATCTTCTCATGCTTAACACACCCCCAACGGCAACTTTTACGAAATCATCAGTGATTGGTTCGGAAGCCACGCCCCAAACAGGGACACGGGACTTGATGCAGAGCCCGAACTTGTTACACATGACTGGAGGGAACAATGATAATATGAGAATGGTATATGTTTAAATATACCCATTTTTCTATTATTTTAATACATCATTTAATGCACTAGATTACACCAATACACCATTGATTTTAATCTTACTGTGCCCTTTCATATCATTCCTTTTCTTCTCTCTCTCTCTTTAATGTACTGTAGTCTCCTTTTGCATCACAGAGTCCGTTCCCCAAGACACTATTAGACACTTCCTCCTCTCCATCTTCTAACTACCTCATTGGTCAGTCCCCTTCAGCTAATCCCAATATAAGTGGACCTGGTCTTCACTTACCACCGGCACGCTCATCTCTTGAGGGTAATCCAGAACTAGTCAAGGTTAGGTGAACCCAGTCTCCTGCCAAACAGCATTATTATTATTTATTTGTATTATTTTTTTGTATTATTTGTTTCTTTATTTATTTGTATTATTTGTTTGTATTATTTTGTTTGTGTACATGTAGGTGTTAAAATATACTGATTATGACTTGCAGAGGATTATTGCTCAAGTCAGGCAAGAAGCACAGGCAGAAGTAAGAGAGCAAGAAAGAATGAATTGTGTGGATAGTGAGATGAGAACTGAATAGAGGGAGGGTAGATATAACTATTGATGATTTAAAGCTATTATGATCATTTAGATTGAGAGCCAAGTTCTTGCTGTGAGAGAAGAATATTCACAGGAGTTCCAAAAATCACAGAAAAAGATGGACAGGCTGGTCAAAGAACTTCAAAATTTGAGGTCAAACAATGCACTCCAGACATCAAGCAACTCTAAAATGGAAGAAGAGTGCTCGAAATTGAAGTAAATTTTATACATGTACATGTAACAATTAAGCTGCATGAACATAAAAATCATGTTCTTATTGATGTACAGTACAGAGTTGAATGCTCTTATGTTTATTATATGTAATTACAGTGTTGTGTGATATTATTATTATTATTATATAGAGCCCTGTGTGATGAACATCTTGCCACTGAAAAGAAGATGCTTGACATGTATGAGAAACTAAAGGAAGAGAGCAGACAGATAGAGCAGCAAAGAGATCAGGTTAGTAAAGTCTATTTGTCTTTTTTATGTCATTATGCATCTCTAGGCTCTTGCTGATTTCAATTCCATGGAGAAGTCGTTTGCAGATTTTCACCAAAGACACATAAAAGCACGCGAGACTTTGACATTATTACAGAAAGTAAGACCTGTTTTTCATGTGGTTCATTGCACATTTATACTGTCTATTGTCTCCCCACCTCTCTCTCTCTCTTTATCAGTCTGAGAGCTCATTACAAGACCATATTGCTCACCTGGAGAAGAAAGTTGAATCATTAGAAGAAATGAATCAGCAGCTGCAAGATGAAACATTCCTAAAAATACAAGAGTATGTGTTTTGTGTATTATTTCTTGATTTATTCCCTTTCTCTCTAGGGCCAATAAGATATACGATAAGCTACAGTCTGATCATGCATCAGAGCTAGCAGTGACAAAAGCAAATGTTAAAAAGATGACAGTTCAAATATCAAGCCTTGAAGGGCAACTGAAACAAAAGGTATGATAGACCACTTATGATTCACACATACACTCTAGATCCATTAGAAAGTATACTACATTCCCTGTATGTATGCATGCACCCAATGCAGTGATATATATATAAGTGGTGTATATATTGATATAATATTGATATATAGTTGAATAGTGGCATAGATTGATTGTTGTGATATTTAGGAACAAGAGAAGCAAGAGTTGACTCTTATATGTGATGAGCTAATGAAGGAACTGGGAAGCAAGTGATTGACCAACCACTTTTAAAAGAAAAAGAGAGAAAGAGACATAAATACATACAGACACACACTCATGACTACAGTGTATCATAATAATAATGATTATTAAGAAGTTTTTAATTTATTATTAATTAGCATAATTAGACAAAATTAATTATTAGTTTTAATAGGGGCGTGGCATTACTTACTTTTATTGCCCACGTGCAATCATGGCGTCAGTTGAAGAATCTGAGGAGACTCCTGGCGAATCCTTAACAGATTCATTAGCAAACCTTAAGCTAGAAGATAGCCCAGAACGTGTGGTAACTCTTGATGGCGACACAGCCCAAAAAGTATCACTACTGGATAAGTACTATGGACCTTTACCTGAAGCTGAAGACAAAACTGAAGGTTATTATTATTTATTTATTTCTGTTAACCTGTTGAATTCAAGTAATTGGTAATTGAAATCAGTCTACGTAGTAACATAGAGAATGTTCACACTTAAAATCTTATATTATTTATCGCTGTAATAGAATTTGATTACGTCATAGAAGTACATGGATTCTCACCAAATTTAAAGACAAAAGATATTTTAAATGAATTATTTATTAATAAAAGGTAATTTATTATTAAAATAAAATTATAAAATTTGAGAATTCTCTCCTAGCCATTTTTGAAAAAAAATTGACCAAAGTCCCTGTACATGGTCTTTCACCAAAATTTTTGAGTAACTTTTAAAATTTGTAAAAAATCTAAACTTGATCGGAATGAGCTCAAATTTGAAATATAACATAAGAACATGTATATGTATGAGATAGAATTATAAAAATAGAGAATTCTCTCCTAGCCATTTTTGACGAAATTTTACCAAATTCCCTGTACTATAGTACAGGGACTTTGGCCCAATTTTTGAGCAACTTTAAAAATTCATAAAAAATCCAAACTTGTTTGAAATGAGCTCAAATTTGGAATATAACATAAGAACATGTATATGTATCAGATAAAATTATTAAAATGGAGAATTCTGTCCTACCCGTTTTTGACCAAAATACCCTTTACTGTAGTGCATGGTATTTGGCTCAATTGTTGAGCAATAGAAAATTTAAAATGTGTACTTGGTAGAGCTAAATGAAGCTACTAACCTCTCCAGTCATTGATAGTCTTACTGTTTTTTTATAGTTCAGAATTTATGAAATTAAAATGGGTAGATGACACCCACGCTTTAGCTATTTATACCTCATCATCCGATGGTATGTCCGCTGAATGGTCAATTTATATACTAGCTCTGTCTTTTACTTTATGCTGTAGCTAGTTTTATTGCTGAATCATCATTCAAGAATATACAAACAAGGCTATTGTCAGATTCGAATCACGAAGCATCTATTTTTATAGCAAAGAGTTATGCAAGTGAAGAGAAAGAGAGAGAGAGCAAATTGCCATTTTAGATTTTATTTATCACAGAATCCATCAGAGACTTTTTGTGCAGTAAAAAACCATCTCATTCATCAACTGAGCTTGAAAGCAACTCATCCATACCAGAGAAGCCTCCATTGTCAGCTAGTGTAGCAAGAAGAATGATAGGACATGCTCTTGGAGTAAGGATCACAGCCTCTCCTGAGCAGAAAGAGAAAGAGAACAGGTTATGGAAGGAGGCTAAGGGTATGCATTTGGTTTGTTATAGGTTTGTCATGAGTCATACTATTTTGTAGAGAAAAAGAAGCAAAGAAAAACTGACTGAATGTAAAAAAAATTTTTATCTTGTATTATTTTAATTTCACCAACATTCAATCTATTTTTACTAACAATAAATAAGTACTAATAATAAATAAAACAAGTTTTTACTGTACAATGTGAATTAAAGGGTATTTTTAATAAAACACGTCCGCTTTGGCGAGTGAGCTTGCACCCTTGCTTCTCTTTCCTTTTTTCTTTGCTCCTTTTTCTTTTTTCTCTTTTTCCTTGTCTGCTTCTTTTTTCAGCTTCAGTGTGTCTAAAGGAGCCAGATCGTTGGCATCAGAGTTTTTCTTTGCTTCCTGTGACCTCCTCTGTATGTGTGAGTCTGATAATCTTCTCTTCAACAATACTTCAGACTGATCATCCCTTTTATCCCTCCCTGGCCATTTTTTAACAGGTGCTTCAGAGATATGCCTATCAAGTAAAGGTCTATTAGAAATGCTTTGGCTCCTTGGAAAGTCTTCAGTGTAAGACCTTCTCTGACCTCCATCAAGAGACATCCTTCGTGCTAGTCGAGGATTACCTTTTTCGTAAGAACCTGCTGTACGTTTATCAGTGAGAGACCTCCTACGACCTTGAGGTGGTGAAGGGTATTTGCCATGAAGACTGTCTTTATCAAATGATTTTCTGTGAGCCTCTCTTTGAGGTTGTTTAGAAAAGGAATCTGTTCTCTTGATGGCTTGATCTGACTCAGCATCTGATGCACTTGACAGCAGTGGTTTAAAAGGCCATGGTTGATTCATAGTTGCCACAGCATGCTGGGCCATTATTTTTTCCAAGTCGTAACTCGATTCTGCTTCTGATTCATCGGTGCCCCGTACTTCATCTTTTGATACTGTATGTGGGACTGATTCACATCCATCTGTTTCTTCTACTCCCATTGATGTCTTGTTCCTATCAGAATGTGTGCTGGGAACTGGAGAGGAGTCTTCTTTGTCCTTCCCAAAAAGTGCTCTTGTGAGCTCTTCTTTCATTATGTCATCATCATCATCATCTTCATAGTCTAACAATGGAGGAGGTGTATACACCGTCTCTGTATAATATGACCCATCATCTTCTTGCTTTGCTTTCTCATTAACTTCTTTTGATGATGGTATGTTTCTTTGTACTGCAGGACCTGATTGGGTGGTAGGATCTTTTAAGGGGACAGTTGTCTCTTGTGATGGAACAACTGGTAGTTTGCTTGAAGAACCTTTTGATGGTGTCTCATTCCTTTTGCTTGGTGGAGTCTTTTTCCTGATGAAAGTTCCCTGATCAAACGAATCATTCTCGTCAGAGTCGTCAACTTCAGCATCAATGAGAGTAGTGCTCTTTGTTTCTGGTTGTTTGTCCTTTTTACTTGGTAGAGTGTGCTTCCTGATGAAAGTGCCTTGATAGCCCTCATCATCATCATCATCACCACCGCCATCTTGTATGCCATCAATGCTGGTGCACACTGTTGGACTCTCCATTGGCTCATTGGAGCTTTGATTTGTCATTTCAAATAGTTCATTGTCTCTCCACAGTTCTTCGGTATCATATGTATTTGTCGGTGCTGCAAGAGACAATTTAATAATATTACATATACAATGACTAATATGCAACTACCATAGAATCCAAATTCATCATCGGCAGTTTCTTGACTTTTCAGTTGCTTCCTCCATTTCTTTTCCATCCTCTTCATTCTATGGACACAAAACAGATACATAAATTTGCTCCAATTTGCATCCTAACCTTCTTTTTTCACTGTCTATGAAAATATCAGTGTTGGCCACTACAAAATAAATAGCAATTGTGATCATTAAAACTATAGCAATTCCTACAATTCCTGCTATCAGATAAATGTACCAATGAATTGGCTCATCTAAAACACAATCATCAACATTGTTATTAAGAGCAGTATAAAGTTACCTTCAATAACGATGCTTAGATTATATGTAAGACTGAGAGTAGTCATATTAAAAGTTAACCTTTGACTTGCATGGCAGGTATAGTTCCCATTGCTTGAAGGGCCAGCATATGTAATGATCAGGCTTCCATTTTCTGCTACATAAGGTTCTGTGTAGCTTATAATGCTAGAAATCCTGAAATGCATTGTTATTATAATTATAATGGATGTTATATTTTATTATACATTTGACTCTCTTTGCTCCAGGTATAAGTTGGCGTTGGAACTCCTTCAATGTCACAATTCACTGCACCAATTCTATTACTCATTACTGTACTGTACTCATTGTATCTCTCACTGTTTATGTAAAGAGGAACATATTCTGTAAAACACAAATAAAAGGAATAATAGACTAATGGAAATTGTACCGTCAATAATAAGAAATGCTTCTGTGCTGTTTGTATATTCCAGTAATCTTCCAGAGCACGTATAGGTACCCATATCATCAAAGCTTGAGCTTAAAATCCTCAGCAGTGATTGTCCTCCTGACGTGGTGATCATTATTCTACCACTAATGCTGGTCAAAGGATTGTTGTCCTTTCTCCATGATATATGGACCAAATTGTGATTGAATACACATTCAAATAAAACTGGCTCATGTAAGGAAACATTCTTATCTTCCAATGGCTCCACAGTCAATTGAACTATAGTGATAATTCAATGTAAAGATATCTAGTAGGTTTATAATGAAATTAGCAACTTACAGTTGTAAGTGGCAACATTAAAGTAGACCCTTTTAATATCATTTCCTATTCTGGCTGTACATGCATACTCTCCTGCATCAAAAACATCAAGGGTTCCATTTATCTGTGCAGAGTCTTGATATATGGTGCCATTTTCATCAATGTCCTCGTTAAAATCCTCTAATAGAGAAAAGGCCTCCGATTTTATGGGTATTGTTGAGTGCTCAATAGTGATAACAAGTAAAGTTTCATCTGACAATAGAGTCAAGTTGACTGTTGCTGTGCATGTCAGTGGAGTGTAGGTGTTGACAGTAAAGCTGACATTCTGAGCAGAAACTGAGAACAAATCTAACTGAGCTCCTGTTGAAGAGATATTTGATTTGCATTATAGGTGCAATGACATAGCTTACTTGTTTTAGAGCAGAAAGATGAGATAAAAATGCAGAAAGCAAAGGTAAGACACCTTCGAAGTGGCATTTCTGTGACAAAAAGCAGCCCCACCCTTTCAGCTTGCAGAACGCAAAGGGAGTGGTCATTTACAAGCCTCACCCACTTTTAAAGATGGCGGCTTTAGACGAAAAACCTACTGATTTAGATTGTGCTCATTATTCTAAAGTCATCAACACTTGGGAGCTCCTGGCTACTTTTTTAAAGATAACTGATCCAGATATAACCGCTTTGAAAAGAGATTTTCCCGATTATAATCAACAGAAGATACAGATGCTGTTTTTGTGGAGGAGGAAAAATGGAAGGAGAGCCACTCGCCGTGTCTTAGCTGAAGCATGTAGGAATGCAGAAGAGGTAACTCTAGCTGAAAAAATAGAAGGAAAGCCTGAGTCGGAAGTTGTTGCGTCGGAACCTGTCCTAGCTGCACCAATCCAAGCCACATCTACCGACCTAAGCAGCAGTAGTGCACCAACACACTTGTCATATAGAGAACCTACTCAAGTGAGCCAATATATATATTCCTCTATGCAAGTTTTTGAAGTTGCTCAAAAATTGGGCCAAAGTCTCTGTACTTAGTACAGGGATTTTGGTCAAATTTTGTCAAAAATTAAAAGGAGAGAATTCACCATTTAAAAATTTTTTTCTAATACAGAGAAGTTATATATAAGGGTAGTCTTGCGTAGTCAGACCCATCCCCCCTTTTTAAAAATGTCAAAAAGGGGAAAGATGGGTCTTGCTAATGTCAAAAAAGGGAATAAGTCTGGCTATGCAAGACTAATATAAGGGTGGGTCAGTGGTCGAACTCAACTGAAACCAACTATACCTATGTTTGAACTGATTCTGATCAAGTTTGGATTTTTAAAGAATTTTTGAAGTTGCTCCAAATGCCATGTATTGTATTGTAGTGCTTTTCAGCTCATAAAACATGTCATTTAGCTCACTTAGCATGCTTTGTGGGAAACCCTGGCTATTATTATCATGTCATATTTACTATAACTATCACCCCATGTTTTATGCATGATTTTATTGATACTGCATTTGGAGACATTTTTGATTCCGATCAAAGTATTTTTATATCTTATTAGGCTCAAGACGATTTTCCTGAAGGTCAATAGTACAATAGTAATAATAGTACTTCTAGGGTAATTAGGCCTTTGAATTGACTTGAACATTATGAATAATTTAATATAAAATGTTAAGTTCATAATAATGATGACGATGATGATTCTTGTAATGATGATTTTTGTCATTGTGTTTTGTACATGTACATTTTATTTTTATATAATAATTCTTGATAATTTTAATAATTATTATTATAATGAATGATATAATCAATCGATTTGTGGGAGTGGCAACTGGCAATAAATCTATAATCATAGATAATAGAGTAAATGAAAGGGATTGGAAACGGGGGCGTAGGCTGGTTGATGTTGCTATTGGTTACCGGCCCAAAACCTGGTTGATTTCCCATCTCCTCCATTAGTGAGGCTGTACTGCAAGGACTTCGAAGGATATTTATGGAGATCCAAGAGGACGCTTACTTATGATATACCTACCGTTCGATATAGAAAGTGTTGGACTACCTGCAGCAAGGTTTTTACTTCTACAGCGTTATTTTGCAACGAGTTATAGGTACAACAAATTTTTTTCATTTTTCGTCCTTTTTCTGTAGTAACAAACTCATGCTTCATGGATTCTAACCTTAACTAGTATCATTCGATATGCAAATGGAAACTCTTTCATATGATTATAAAGATATTGTATTTTACTCTAGCTTGTTTTCAAAAAAGGGATTATAATGACAAAAAAAATACATTTTATGGTTTTAAAAGTGCCATAACATTAACATGGTAAAATTATCTATACAATAGAAAACAGAATTATAAAGAGGAAACATTAGGCTACTTGATGCACTAATTTCACTTGCATAGGAACACTTGCTTGCGAGATATTGCTCCTAAAAGAAAGAAAATCAAGGGTAAATTGTGACAAAAAATTTCAAACGAGCCTCTGTCAGCCTAGCAGCAATACAAATGAATGGAGGTTGGGCTACGCCCACGCTTTCGTTTCCAATCCCTTTCATTTACTCTATTATCTATGCTATAATTATTCTGTAAAAATGGCGTTAGACGAAAAAGCGACTGATTCTGATTTTGCCAATTATTCTAAGCTCATAAACACTTGGGAGCTCCTGGCTTCTCATTTAAAGAT